TTTCAATAAACCCTTTTGAAAACTCTAAACATAAATAGATATTTGATTTAGAAGGTCTATATATAATAGGGTAGTAGGTACTATACAAAGATAGTATGTATGCTATCAGCAAAAAAAAAATGTAATCCAGGCATTGTAAACAATTCTTAGCTAATTCCTACATAATTTCTTTTTTTTTAAAGATTTATTTATTTATACAAGCACTGAGTACAGTCAGAAGCACGGGAGGGTGAGAGACTTCACCAGAGCCAGAGCAGGGAACAGAACAGGCATACTGACAAAATACACTGCTGAGGGGAGCAGCGGGCACAGCAGGAGAGGTCTGTGCACCATGTGGGACCCTTGTCGGTGGCCAGGGATCGAACCAGCGCTGCAGAGGCTGCAGGCAGCTTCACAGCCAAGCACTCAACTGCTGAGCTACCAGGGGAGGCCCACCTACATAATTTCTTGACTATTCTAAAACTCACTAATAAAATAGCAGATTTAATACTTTGTCATTGTTTAGATGTAAGTATAGGATACGCTACTAAATCATGAGTGACTATAAATAATCACTATGTACACCACGTTTGCTGAATCTCTACAGTTCTATACATAAATCACCTTTCCTTTCACTATTTTCCCTACAACTATCCATGCCTCATCTTCCACAGTGAGTTCTTTCAATAACCAAATGCCCATAGTATTTATCACTTCAACACTCTAACCAAAGCCAGCAAAGCAGAATAAAAGAAAATCCTATAATGAAGCTATAGAATTATACTGTTTTCATAAGAAAATGAAATTTTCCAAATTAGTTTCAAAAGTTTTCTTGAAAATAAGTCAATGCATATGTAAAGGACAATATCTTCTACTCCCAATATTTCTTTACTTTTCCAAATGTTTTAAATTTATTATTTGTTCTTTTTTAATCCTTCACTTTAAACCAATTAATCAAACAAACAAAAACCTAAAGGAAGAAAATATTTAAAATATGTCTCTAGTGTCACACAGAGTTGCTTGGATCAGAATTCATTTTCTTGATACTTCAACTTCACCAACGAACTAAAATTCCTTCCAAGTTTTGAACAGTGCTCCTACTGTAAATATCTCTGCTATCCATAGGATAAGCATTGGCCATTCCCCAAATTCTAGAACCATTTGCCATTTTACTGCTTTCTTCCCACACTTAACTTGTCAGTTTGTCAAAAAGAATCAGTATAAAGCACTTGGTGAACTTTAACCAAAAGTATTTGTTGTATATCTAGCGTATGCCATATATATATACTTCACACATTATAAGAGAACAGAATGAAGAATATACTGCATAATCCTAGATTCCAAATCCTTCTCTCTGAGAACTCCCTTTAAAATAATTAACTTTTATTGAGATTAAAAAGTTGACTTTCTTACCAAAATTCAGCAAAGAAACCATAACTATGATAAATAATGACATAAAAGCAAAGCTAAAACCACTGTAATATTTTATAATTTTAAAGTGACGACAATTTGATTGATTTATTTGGCAAACATTTATCAGGCATCTGTTATGTGTCAGGTATTGCTAATAAAAAAAAAAAAAAAAAGGGACCTGATACTTGCAACCCTCTGGGAATTAAGAGTCAAGATTTATTGAACAGGTAACAAAAACAAAGAGAAACCCCACCAACTGGGAGAACATTTTTGCACCCAACACTAATGATAAAGGACTGATCACAAAAATCTGCAAAGAGCTGATGAGACTCAACAACAACAAAGAAAATAATCCAGTCAAAAAATGGGCAGAAGAGCTTAAAAGAAACTTCTCTGAAGAGGAAATGCAAATGTTCAACAGGCATATGAAAAAATGTTCAACATCACTTGTCATCAGGGAAATGCAAATCAAAACTACCATGAGATACCATCTTACACCAGTGAGAATGGCACATATTAAAAAAACTAGCAACAACAAATGTTGGCGAGGGTGTGGAGAAAAAGGAACTCTTCTGCACTGTTGGTGGGAGTGCAAACTGGTCCAACCACTGTGGAAAGCTGTATGGAGATTTCTGGACCTACTAAACATAGAGCTTCCATATGATCCAGCAATTCCACTCCTAGGTATTTACCCAAAGGACACAGAAACATCAATTCCAAAGAACACCTGCACCCCTATGTTTATAGCAGCACTGTTTACAATAGCTAAGCTTTGGAAACAACCCAAATGCCCAAAAATAGATGACTGGATCAAGAAGATGTGGTACATATATACCATGGAGTATTACTCAGCATTCAAAAAAGATAAACACATGCAATTTGCAGCAACATGAATGGCGCTGGAAGGGATCATGCTTAGCGAAATAAGCCAAAAAGAAAAAGAAAAATACCGGATGGTCTCACTCATAGCAGGAATCTAGAAAACTTAAATAAGGGACCAGGAAAATGAATAACTATAAGAAAGTGAAAATCAAAATCAACAAAAAACTATGAACCAGAGACACTTTTAGGGGGGCGGGGGTGGGAGGGGAGGGATTGGGGTCAGAATGGGGGGGCTGCAATTGTATGGGGAATATAACAATAAAATTTATTAAAAAAAAAAAAAAAGATTTATTGAACAGGGCCTCCCCGGTGGCGCAGTGGTTGAGCACTGGGTTGCGAGGCTGCCCGCAGCCTCTGCAGTGCCGGTTCTATCCCTGGCGGCCATGCAAGGGTCCCACATGGTGCGCAGACCTCTCCTGCTGCCCGCTGCTCCCATCAGCAGTGTACTTTGGTCCTTCTGCCTGTTCTCCCCACTCTGGCTCTGGTGAATTCTCTCACCCTCCCGCACTTCTGACTGTGCCCAGGGCTTGTATAAATAAATAAATAAATCTTTAAATTAAAAAAAAAGATTTATTGAACAAGTTAATCAGTATTTGGTGCACAGAGAAAGAGAGATCACCCTCTGTAGGGACACAGATAAGGGGCATCTAAATCAGCATCAAAGAGTCAACAAATACTTGTAAAAAGATAATTTGGAACGAACTTTCCTGCATGAATAATAATTAGCCCATGAGAAGGACAATCCCAAGTAGCTGTTAACAAAGACACAGAAATATAAAGTAATATGGACTACTCAAGATACTGGAAGTTGTTCTTTGGGGGAAACTTTGAAGGGGATATAATCAGGAAATGAGAATGATAAAGCCAAATCATGAAATGGCAAGGAGTTTGAAATTTTATCCAGAAAGAGAGTCCTTCTAGCCCTTCTAAAGTTAATAAACATGATTTTAAGCAGGGAAGTAAAAATGAATATATTTTAAAAGATATGCTTAACTTGGGAATAGAGCAAGGCTAACATACTAATGCTGAATTTCGGAGGTGACATTAGGAATGGAGAAGAGGGAATGGATATGAGAGACAAAAAGAGATGGGACTTGCTGAATTTAGATATTAACTGGAAGAAAGGATGGAATGAGAACAAAGAATCTCAATGGAATTTGGTGCCTAAGTGGATGATGGGACCACAGCTGAAAGAGTATTGAGCAGAGAGGAATGACATTCATTTTGAATTATCCTGGGCATTATGTTTTCTATATATTGTCCAGAGAATTCCTAAAAATATATAAACTATACATAATGTAAAAAACAAATACCCCCCCCAACACATACACACATTTGACCTAAAGTTCATTGTGGCTAGTGTAATCATTTTAATTATTTAGCAAAGTTTTCCTCATTATTTTTAGATTATGCTGGGGATGAAGGGAGGGAAATATTTGAATACCCCAAGTTTCTTTTACAAAGTTGAAGAGGAAAATTTAAATAGTTCCTCACAGAAAACTAATGGATAAAATTATTCATTGACCAAGGACTGTTGAGCAAGTCTCTCTAAAGTAGCCAGTGAATTAAGCTTATATTCAGTAGGTAACTGTTGTGTTATTGTAAGTAAAGGTATCAAAAGATGAAACACACTTTATTACATAATATTAACAAAGCAGCAATATAAGTTATAAATTGTTTATACGAAGCTTTTTTTTTTAAGTTCAGAAAATCTTAAACCTCCAGAAAATCAAAATATAAAAATTATATTCTGAGGTGGTCAGGTCTGAAACACCTATCTGCAAATGTTTACAGGGAAATTTATGATTTATTTATGAATAGAAAATATGTCTTCAGCTTCATTAGTCATTTCTCAATGTAGAGTATAATGAAAAGGATACAGTTCTCTTTTCTTTTTTTATTATGGATAAATTACAGCTTGATAAGGGGAAGAAGATGCCTGGAAAGACTGAACAACTGGGCCTCCCTGGTAGCACAGCAGGTTGAGTGCAGCACTGTGAAGCTGTCCACAGCCTCTGCAGTGGGTTCGATTCCCCAGGCAGGGATATACCCTTATTGCGAGGCAGACCTCTCCTGTCTCGCCCCCTGTTCCCCTCAGCAGCTCTTTTGGTCAGTCTGCCTGTTCTGCTCCCTGTTCTGTTTCTGGTGAATCCTCTCACCCTCCTGTGCCTATGGCCTGTACCCCAGCTCTTGTATAAATAAATAAATCTTAAAAAAATAAATAAAGGAAAGAGAGAAAGAGAGAGAGAGAGAGAGAGAGAGAGAGAGAGGAGAAAGGGAGAAAGGGAAGGAAAGGAAAGGAAAGGAAAGGAAAGGAAAGGAAAGGAAAGGAAAGGAAAGGAAAGGAAAGGAAAGGAAAGGAAAGGAAAGGAAAGGAAAGGAAAGGAAAGGAAAGGAAAGGAAAGGAAAGGAAAGGAAAGGAAAGGAAAGGAAAGGAAAGGAAGGAAAGGAAAGAAGGAAAGGAAAGGAAAGGAAAGGAAAGGAAAGGAAAGGAAAGGAAAGGAAAGACTGAACAACTGAAAGGAAGAACCAGGAGAAGGACTCCAAGTCTTGAGTTGCCTAACCAACCACTCGGCCTGCAACCACTCGGCCTGCAACAGCTAGATCCTCAGAGTTCTACAAAAGACTAATAAACTCAAATCAAGAAAAAATACTCACAAATCTAATTTGGCAACTGACACCCTGAGGATACACACTGTGCTCCTGACCAGCAGGAAAGTACTCACTTTCTCTGCGTACATCCTCAAGTGCAGCGGCAAGCTCTTCCTTTAACACTGTGGCTTCCTGGGCAATTTTCTCTCCTTTGTCTAATAAATTCCAAGTTGCTTCCTCCACAGAAGCTAGAAGAACTCTGGCTCTCTTTGAACGTCCCTTTTTCCTGTTAGAAGGATTCTGGGGGCAATTTACAAGTGTAGTAACCTAAAATCAAAAAATGTAAGTCAGTTATCAGACAAACTGAAAGGAAAACACAGTTCTGAGATACCACAGCCAAGAACAAAAGATGGTATTTCATAGGCATACAATTCATTCCCAGTAGAGCTGTTACCTCCCCAAAAGTCAAGGCAATCTATGTCAAGAGGATGGCAAAAACTATTATAATTAAATATTAATCTATTCAGATTAAAAAAAGAGATTACTAATACAGGGTGAAGGGAGCATTCTAAACATAGAAAACAGTAGTTAGCTATGGGGAACAAGGCCCAAATTCTTACTATAACCTCCATCCAAGCCCCTTGTAACATCTCATAGCTGCCTCCTATACTCTTCCCTTATTCATTGGGCCTCTCAAACACATTCTACTCAATTTCCCCACTCCAGAGGCCTCCTGATCACTCATCCTCATCTCTCCCAATGTATCACATCAACCCCCCTGTATCCCATCCCATTGTATCATATCACTACTTTATATGTCTTCAAAACATGTATAGAATCTAAGATCTTTCATTTATTTATATGTTTGTTGCATACACCAAATATTAATTTATAAGCTCCATGAAAAGAAATGTGTTTTGTTCTCTAGCATCCAGAATAATACACAAAGTGATATTCAATAAACATTTATTATAAAAATGGATTAATGAATAGGATATTTTGAAAAGACTATTCAAAATAGTCTGTATTTTGAATTGTCTTAAATGTTAATAATGAGCATGTATTACTTTTGCAATTTGTCATAAATAAGAATAAATTCATTATAAATTATTAGAGATAGAAATTAAGCATCTATATTTGGAAACAAAACCTCATACAAAACTATGTTGTGAAAGATAACCATTTTTTAAAGATTTTATTTATACATAAAAGAACTGGGGTACAGGCCAGAGGTGCGGGGGTGGGGGGTAAGAGGATTCACCAGAGACAGAGCAGGGAACAGAACAGGCAGAACAACTGAAACACATTGCTGAGGGGAGCAGTGGGCGAGACAGGAGAGGTCTGCTGTGCCATGTGGGTAGCTTCCCGGCCGGCTGGGGATCAAACTCGTGCTCCATTTTTTAATTAAACCTTAGACTCCAATGGTTAACATTTTCGGAAGCAAAACTTGAAGATACCCTTGGGGAAAAAGAAAAACCTTATATCCAGTATTTATTTTTTTAAGGATTTATTTTATTTATTTATGCATAGAAGAACTGGGGGGTAGGCCAGATTTGTGGGGAATGAGAGGATTCACCAAAGACAGAGTGAGGAGCAGAAGAAGCTGATTGACTGAAATACACTGCTGAGGGGAGCAGCGGGCCAGATAGGAATGGTCAGCTGCGCCATGTGGGTCAGCTCCCTGGCCAGGAATCAAACTCATGCCACAGTGGCAGGCACTAGCTTAATAGTGCTGAGACTTTAACCCTTGCACCACCAGGAAGGCACTGTATCCAGCATTTAAAATAGAAGATCTGAAACTTGTATTTATCTGAAACTCCTCCCTTGTTCATTGCAGCATTTTTCATAATAACCAAGAAATGGAAGCAAGCTAAGTTGTCAATGCATGAACGACTTAAAAATATGATACAGGTGATGACAACAATAAAAGATGATTGATAGACAGATACACATATGTGGAATCTAAAAAGAAAACTACAAAAAAAAATTCCAAGCTCATTATTATAGAGAACAGATTGACAGAGGCATGGGTGTGTGTGTGAAATGGTAAAGGGGTCAAAAGATCATAAACAACTACTTATGAAATAAATAAATCACAGGAATGTAATTCACAGCATGGTGACTATAGTTAATAATACTGTATTGCATATTTGTAAGTTTCTAAGGGAACAGATCTTAGAAGGTGTCTTCAAAAGGAAAAAAATGTAACGCTGTATAATGACAGATGGTAACTAGACTTACTATAGTGCTCATTTGTACAACATATACAAATATCGAATCATTTCAAAAGAACACCTGGACACCTATGTTTATTGCAGCACTATTTACAATAGGTAAAACCTGGAAACAACCCAAATGCCCAAAAATAGATGACTGGATCAAGAAGATGTGGCATATATACACAATGGAATATTATTCAGCAATCAAAAAAGATAAACTCATACCATTCGCAGCAACATGGATGGAACTAGAAGGAATTATGCTCAGTGAAATGAGCTAGAGGAAAAAGAAAAATATCAGATGGTTTCACTTATAGCAGGAATACAGGGGAACCAAAAAAAGATATCAGTGTAAAAAAAAATAGTAACAGTACAAAGCACAACAAAGCAAAAAAGGACAATTATAAATCAGAGACATCCTGCAGGGGAGGAGGATGGAGAGGGATCAGAGGGAGGGAGGAGGAGCACAGGGGACTGAGGTGCACAGGTGCATTGGTGAAGGACACTCATGGGAACTACACCTGAGGGGGTGGGGGGAAGCAAATATTGTTTAAAAATGAATAATGATGTAAAAAATTGAAAAAAATTAATACATTTTAAAAAAGAAAATGAGAAAAAAAACAAATATAAAATCATTATGTTATACACACCTGATACTAATATATAGCAATTATACCTCAATTATTAAAAAATTAATTAATTGGTAAAAATAAAATACTGCTGGGGGAGGAGTGAAAGGAGGAAGTGGTGGGGAGAGAGAAAGAGAAAGGAGAGAGAGAGAACATGAAAGAGAAAGCAAGACTTTCACCTGTCATCAAATATCCAATACTTATCACAATGACAAAGCACATCTTTGTTTTTTGGTTTTTTTGTTTTTTAGTTCTTATTTTATTTTTTTTAATTTAAATAATAAATTTTATTTTTATATTCCCCCATACAATTGCAAACGCTCCATTCTGACCCCAATCCCTCCCCTCCCGCCCCCCCCCCCCCAAAAAGTGTCTCTGGTTCATAGTTTTTTGTTGATTTTGATTTTCACTTTCTTATATTCATTTTCCTGGTCCCTTATTTAAGTTTTTTAGATTCCTGCTATGAGTGAGACCATCCGGTATTTTTCTTTTTCTTTTTGGCTTATTTCGCTGAGCATGATCCCTTCCAACGCCATCCATGTTGCTGCAAATTGCATGTGTTTATCTTTTTTGAATGCTGAGTAATGAAAACAGACATACACACATAACCCTTCTTGCTCTGCAGCCTTAGATATTTTGCTTGTTTTTGTCTCTTAAATACCTACTTGGATATCTGGACCCAGTTTTTAGGTAGAAACTTACAAACTATGGAGAAATGTGTAGATGAAAATAATTTTTGTCTGCTCTTCAATTTTCCTCCCCTTTCCATTAGACCTTCTGTTTTATTCCCATGTCCACAACCCACAGTGGAGTGTCTTGCTGTAAGTCTTTGTTTTCTCATTGGGGAAATGAGAATAAACCTATGATCCTATAATATTGTATGGAACTTAAATCATATAAAATGTTTTGCGAATATTAAGACACAAATATTAGTTGATATTTAATGTGTACTTTCTAGTCCATTCCCCACATGGATGTAGAGAATCTGTTATGGGATCCTTGTCAAAAGTGTTCTTTCTGAGTGCACCATTATCTTGCTCTTAGCATGCCCCATGCTAAATGGGATGAAGGCAGTTGATAAAGTACATTCTACACACTTTACAAGCAGTCAAAAAAAAGGCCACATGCATTTGTCACGTATTATATAAAGTTAAGATTTATTATATGGTTTTCACATACTCCAAAAGGCAACTATCTTACTATTGTCGGTCTCATTTATATATTAGGTTATAAGATATTTGTCCAGATTATGAAAAATCACAGGCTCTAGTTTAAAACCTTTGTTCAAAATGAAGAATACATATCATTATCTAAAATATTCCTTCAGAATGTATTTTAAGTGCCACAATTCATGCTGCTTCCCACTGAACATTCCTCTATTATTGTTCAGATCCTTCATGCACCAAATGTTTTCCATAGAATAGCCTGATCTTTGAAATTAAAATGAGCATTCCAGAAATGCTTTGTTCCTTACAATACATTCTGGAGAAGTAAGAAATATGAAAAGAACACTGTATAAGAACATTGTACTTCCATAAAAATAAATGCAATTACAATTTACAAGTTATTCACATTTATAAATCATTTATACATATGTCTTCTTTCAAAATACTCCAATATAAGCATCTAATATTGGTTAAACTAAAGTCAAGTGACATTTGCAATGATTTGTTTTATTTTGGAATATAAATATGGCTTGGTAACCCTGTGGGGGAAAAAGAAAACGAAAATTTTTTACCATCAAAATCACCTACAAAATTCAACTAACTCTCATCAGTGACTATGACTCATGATTGTAGATGATTTGCACTGAGGGATGTGGGTGCACATATTCTTGAAAAAGTTTTCCATCTCTTGAAGGAGTATCATTAACCAGTAAAATGAACTTTCAAGGTATTCTGAAAAACAATTCCCGTTTCCTCATTTTCCTTTCCAGTAACAAAACTTACACAGTTCCTTGTGTAAGGAACACCAAAGCTTCAGTTGGAATTAACAACAAAGATGATTTTTGATGTAAAATCCAAACCCATGTCTTGCTAACTTTTCTATTTGTCACTAATGCACAAACCTCTCCTTTCCCTCATTCTCATATCTTAGGGGGTTCCTCTCATATGAAAAATCTTCAGTTCCAACCTTGCAGCTCTCAGAGAGCTTGATTTACTTACTTGATTTTCTTCAGTCTATAAATCTGTACTAGGTTGCAGACACACCTTTATCATTGATACAGGAATAGAATACCTATTAAAATGGTCCTAAATCAGAGACTTCAAGTAATAATGAAAAGAAGAAATTCCTCGCTCTATTAATTCTGAACACTGGAAATTGAAAAAAAAATAAAACAGGTATCTTTTCAATGGTATATAATATTTATATATTAAAATTTATAGGGAAAATGCTTTTTAATCTTTCCTAATTCAGACATGTCCTAATTCAGACATGCTTCTCCAGATGCTCCAAAGACACTGAAAATTAAATTAAT